GGATCTCTACCTGAACCTAGCTTTTTGTCTCTTGTCTACTTTTTTGTCATTCTCGCTGCCGTTCCTTCCGGGGGTACAGCAAGAACCCAAGGGATCCTTGCAAATAAGGGCCCCAAAGATATCTATGTCCTAATCTCTTGAACCTTAAATGTCAAAAATCTTGGATTATCCAGGTGGACCCAATATTGTCCACCTTGGGTGGACAATTGGGTCCTTAAAACAGAAAATTTTCTGGCTGGGACAGAGATAAAGAGGAGATAGCCAAAGTTTTTCCAGGAGACACGATGTCAGTTTCAACGTGGAGGAAAAGACCATGAAACAAGGGACACAAAAAGCTTTAGAAGTGCTAAAAGCAAAGAAACAGATCCTCCCTTTCAGTTTCTAAAAGCGAACAAAGCACTACTAACATTTTGGTTTAGCCCAATGATATTCACGCCGGACTCCCAACATATAAAAGTAGGAAGATAACATATATGTGCTGTTTTTAGCCACTTGAGAAGTCATTTTTATGGCTGCAATAGAGAACTAATGTAATATTCTGACCATTTACACGTGCTGCTTCCTTTGCTTGGAATATCTTTCCCCTGCTAATTTTCCAGTGATAAATCTTTTTCAAATATTAGGTCTCTGATTCACCATTACCTCCTTATGTGAGTTCTGGATAGCTTTATCTGAAACATTCCTCCTGCCACTAACCTCTGAGAAACTCTAAGAGAACAGGCTATTTGTCTCTGTAGGACATGTACTTGTCTGAAATTATCTTCTTTGCATATTTCCTTACCTATTGCTATTTTTGCACTCGAAGTTATAAACTTCATTCTATCAGCAGTATCCTTAGGGCCTCAACTAGAACCTGTCAGATAATAGCAACTCAACCTGTCAGATACTAGCTGCTCAATAAGTATTTGTTAAGGGAAGGAATTAATTAGACTAGGGAGGCAGCTGCTTTAGAAAATGGACAGAGCCTGAGTAAAATTCTGAGGCAGGAAATTGCTTTATGTCTGGGAAAATCTGTTCCTTATAGATCAGATAACAAGAGGAGGGTTGGGGATTTAGCTCAGCGGCACAGCACCTGCCTGGCAAGTGCAAGGTCATGAGTTTGATTCCCAGTACCAAAAAAAAAAAAAAAAAAAAAGATGTAAGATAACAAGAGGAAAGTAGGAAATGGAATCAAGAAGTAGGCATTCAACATTATTATTTTAAAATATGCTATATCCTGCATGTACTTGGTTTTCAGTTTTGTTTTTTGTTTGTTTGTCTTGGGAAGGGGAATAATAGATAAGAAGACCAACAGGACTTGGTGATCAACTGGATGTAGACCGAGGGGGAAGGAGGACCCTCCTCTCATGTTTCTGATCCTAGAGATTAGGTGAAATTAATGGCAGTATTAATTGGCATAAAGGAGGATTGGCAGGTGATGGTTCCATTTCAGATTCTTAGTCTGGGGATCTTTCCAGAGGAAGATGATAAAAGTAGGTCTTTTGGAATACAGATCTGTCTGCTCCAAAGGGAAGTCCTGAATGGGAGGCATTCACATGTAAATGGAAATAAAGTCAAGGGATCTAATAGTTAATATAGCCTAGCCCGATGGACAAGCAAGACAAGAAGCTGATGGTAAGTCACTGCAGAGAGCAAAACCAGAGGATTAGCAAAATAAATGTGACTTGAAGCAGGTGGCTTAGAGGAGCGTGTGGGACCAGGGAACCATGGGAGGATAAGGTTTCAGTAAGAGGAAGGAGTGATCAGAATATCAAACCCTCTGGGGAGGAAAGAGGAAAGATCTTTGGGTTTGTGAGCAAAGAGGCTACTTCCAGCAGTGCAACATAGAGCACTGGTCATCAGACGCTAAGGATGACTGGGAGGGAAGAGAGGAAGGAAAAAGAGACTACGGAAGATGTGAAATTAAGGGAGGCCATCCCTTCCCTTTCTAAAAATACAGGGTAAGGTAAGGAGCAGGTGACAGACTGCAGAAAAAGGACTAACAGAGATGAAGCTGCGGAAATGGGGGGAGTGCACTGAAAGAGTAATGCCCTGAAGGAGATTAAAGGGATGGGATCAAGAGAAGAGAGGAAGGGATCAACCCTGAGAGGTGCCGAGAAGTCTCTCCTCCTGAGCCTGGAGGGAGGGTGCATGATAGGGCCAAGAACAACCCGACCTGGTGTGAATGTTCACTTTGCAGTCAGCTATTGCTGAAATTGAATCCTCAACTCACCACTTATTTGCTGAGTGGCCCTCAGCAAGTAAGCTTCTTTCAATCGTAATTCTTTATATATAATTTCAGGATAAAAACCCAAACTTCCCAGGGTCGTTGTGAGAATTGGTAAAAAGTCCACCCACTGAAACACATGTCATTAAACTGGGTGAACCAGTGGGAGGAGCCCATGGGAATGGGGTGAGATTTTTGAGCTCTTTTCTCCAGCACTGAGGTCTCCAATCAGTTTTTCAAGGATTAAGAAACAGTATCAACCTCTACTCTAAATTCAACTACATCTGCATTACCTGGCCAGCAGCTGTGTACATTTTAGGCTTTTCTGAATTGGAATGTAGGACCCTAAAAGCAAACAGGGAAGAAAAGCTCAAGTTGCAAAATATTTCACTACTTAGGACTCGACTGCAGTAGCTGTTAGGAGTTCACAAGTCAGAACACAGCATGGAAGCCTCTGCTATGACCTTGTCCTATGCTGAGCTTCTGGTAAGATGGACAGGTAGCAGACATGACTGGAACTGTGAGAGGTTGAACTGTGTTTTTGACATTTCACATACAAGTTGTGTTTATAGTAAAATGTAAAACAACTGTATTAATAAGCTGGTAATAGCTGTTTTAATACAGACAGTAGGATGCTTATCTGAATAGGCACTGAGTAGGGTGTGCACAGACTCTACTACAAATTCTACAATCTTACCTTATTATCATCTTTGTATCTCCAGCATGAAGAAGAATTTCTAAGATCTGGGTGCAGAAGCACACGCCAGCTACTTGGAACGCAGAGACAGGAGGATCTCAAGTTCTAAATCAACTTGGGCAACTTAGGGGGACCCTGCCTTTAAAAAAATGCCTGATAGCTGGAGAGGTAGCATGTAGCCCAGGAGTGGAGACCTGTCTAACATGTGCAAGACTTTTGGTCCTCTCCCCAAAACCAAGAAGAAAAAGTCCCTGAGAGTTTCAGATTCTCTACAAATGTCTATTATTGCTGCGCTTCATTAAAGACTCTACACAAGTTGCCTGAAAATGTGCCAAGCACTTGGTGTCTGGGGGCTGTTGATATCTACAAATGGTCTTATTGTCAACTAGAGCTGGGAAGCTCAGAGAATAGCAACATTTTTCCTGCACTTATTTATTTTCCGGCCTCTCCCATCGAATATGAACAGGATAGTTTGCAAGTCCTGGCTTCTCTTTGATATTAAAAGAATCAGCAGAAGAGTGAATTTTGGTTCTTACTCAACCCATTTAGGTGGTGGAGTGTGCCACCCTGGGAGTGGGGTGGTGGCGGTGGAAGTCACTGCAGTGAAACAAGTCTAGGTGACAGGTTACCCTGAAGAGTACAGAGCTGGAGGGTAAAAAGGACTTGGAAAGATGACCTTGACTACTTCTCCAGAGACTGTAGCTTCAAAGCTAAAACTCAAGTGATGGTAAAGCCCCCCGGCCTAACCTCAGTTTAGAAATTTCCTCAGAATTTCTGTTGGGCTTGATGTGTCCCACAGTGCTTATGCCCTCTGGCTTATGTTTCTTTGTTTCATGTAAATTTGTTTTCTTAGCATTTATATAGGTTCCTTCAAGATGATGGGCATGCCTTTCATTTCTTTTGTGTCGTCCTCTCCCTGAAGTGCTTAGCTGGGTACCAGTACCTGGACACTGGACACTGCCGAATAATTGTGAATCTTTGACCCACCTGGGAGGTGTGGAGCTTTCATTCTGATTCTAGGGCTCTCTGAGATGGCATGGAATGCCCTAAGGTCATTAAGACCTTGGTTAGATGGGTACAGCACAGAAGTTCGTGGCTATTGCTCTGAAAAGGCAGGTGCGTGCAGCTGGGAGTGCCCTGTTCCCTGAACCGCTGCTTTAGGCTTAATAGCACCACCATCTACTTACTTTCTGTGGCTCTTTGCAATTTGGAGCTCAGCTAATAACACATTACTCATTTTAGTGTCACCAAACCCTGCACACTGGTCAGGGCAAAGCCCTTGTTTGAAAGGAGAAAATTGGAGTGCACAGAGATAAAGGATTGTGTGTACATTTACAAAATTGGTGAGTGGCACATGCAGTGTCTGAACCCAGCTTTCTGGCACACAAATGTAACCTTCTTTGCATGCCCCTATGCTAGCTTAACAGACTATTTTTCTATGTAATAAAGCTTTCTGGGAAAGAGGAATCTGTAGATGTGGCCCCTCCACAGGAGTTGTAGAAGGAACTTAATACAAGGTGTCACAAATCCATTTATCTGAAATAGTTTTCTCACCTGGATTTTCCCTGGGCTATATTCTAATAGTCCCTTCGGAGGGGAAAGAGGAATCTGTAGATGTGGCCCCTCCACAGGAGTTGTAGGAGGAACTTAGTACAAGGTGTCACAAATCCATTTATCTGAAATAGTTTTCTCACCTGGATTTTCCCTGGGCTATATTCTAATAGTCCCTTCCCAGAGTATGGGGAAAGACACAGAATCTGAGAAAGGGACAAGAGTCCTTTGTATTTCATCAAAAGAAAGCGTTGAAAGATGGCCCTTTAAGGTTTAAAGTGGAGAAGAGAGCCCGGAATTATCTAGATGCCAAAAAAACAGGCTAAAGGGCTCTGTTCCCTCCCTAATACCTTTTTCTATGCACAGTGGAAACGTTAAAGGGTGTGCGTCTGGGGGAAGGGTTAGGGAGTGGCGCATAGGACTCGTTCCCTCTAACAGGCTTCCTTAACAAAATAAAAGAAAAGAGAAATAAAAGTTTGTTTCTCTTATTAAGCGCCATCTGTGCTCAAAACATACATGAAGGAGGGAAAGTTCAAGGCACACAGTGAGCCGCGAGTTCTGATTCGGTTGTTTACCATCAATCAGGCCGTTGCTTGGCAGACACTGGATGGTTATGAGCCTGAACAAGCTGAAAGGGGCAGGAAAAGAAGTGGAGGCAGCATTCTTCCTATTTAAAGCTGCATCGCTTGAAAAAAGTTTTCGCAGACTGTGCGGGAGCTGGTGCTGAAAAAGGGGGTTTGCCGAGGCTGCCCCGGGGCTGGTGCTGAAACAGGAGCCCACCGCTGACTTCATGGTGCTACAGTAACCTTAGAAGCTTCTCTGCACTCCCGGGAGGACCCACATGTCTAATATTTAGATATGATGGCAAACTGGGTGGAAGCAAGACCTCTCCTCATTCTCACTGTTTTATTAGGGCAATCTGTCTCAATAAAAGCCCAGGACGAAGGCGAGGATGGTGAGTTCGCTGCCTGCTTTGCTTGTGGTGTTTATTGCACGGTTTGGGAAAGAGGTGGAATGTTAAGCCTCAGGACGAGCTGGAAGAGGAGGTTCTGGCTGGAAGTGTGAGAGGGGGCTGCCGGATCTGCACCTGGGAGAGGGCTCTTGAGACGGCGGGTTGTCTGCGAATCTGTAGCTTCTCTCTCTCTCTGCCCTTGGAAAGATGATGCTACCGTGCCTGGGAAAGCCCTACGATCATATCCGTCCTTTCGCCTTAATGTGAGAGGGAAAGTTTAAAGAAGAGTGCTTAAAAGGGAGCACTAAAGACACTTTTAGTTAGAAGAGTTCTGTCCTGTGGGCCGGAGCTTTCAGAGCAAGGAAAAGTCGCTGCAGAAGCTGGGTAGGGTGGAGTCTTTCTCCTAGGGAACTTCAGCTGCTTCATAAAATTCTTTGTTTAGAAAAACCTCGGTGGCAACGCTCATAGCTCTGATTTTTCTTTGTGTTCAGCTCCTCATTCTTTTCTCTTTACAGACCGGCCCTGCTTTACCATTTTCATTTGCCATATTCAAGTCCCTTGCTTTCTGAGAGGGAGTCTCCTTTATTTCTCCCTGACAGAGAGGCTGATGGAAGCCAGATTTCTTAAACAGTGGTATTTTCCCACCCTACTGACTTGATTATCAGGACAGCGGTGGTTCCCGGTGGGATGGAGGGACGAAGGAAATCAGTGTGCTTTATGTCTAACTTATTTGGCACAGAGTATTTGTGTGAGCATTTCCCTTAGGCACAAGCTTTTATAAAAAGATAAATTTCGCCTGCTTCCTGAACTTTTTCCTGTGTGATTTGCCTATGCTTGGGTTGGGTTATATGGTTGAGCAGAACTGCATAGCTGATAAAGAATATAAGAAAATATAAATTAGTTCCGCTGACTATTAAATCTTTACTTTTGAGGGTTGAAATTTCAAACACAGGCAAATACTCTTTCACAATAGGCCGTTATAGATTTTCGTACGATTAACATCCAACTCAAGCTTTTGAAACAGCACGTTCATTATTAACCTGTGTGTTACTTTTGCCACTGTCTGTGTGCAGTTCTGCCTTAAAGATGTTTAGAAAATCGACCTTGAGAACCTAAGCCTAAAAATTTTAAAGAGTGAAAATAAGAACCTGGAGGTAAATATTCAAGTCTATTCAGAGTCCCATAGAGGGAGCACTTCCTAGGTCTTGCAAATTTGTGTTACTTTTTATGTTTCACAAAAGGAGGCAATTCATACAAGGTAAAAACTCTCTGAATTTCTGAGTAGTGGCCTGAAGAGCATGTGTTGTTTTGGAGGGGGAAGAAGGTAACTGAATGGAAAGTAGAAGTTAGAAAAGATCTAAATGTAGAAAGATTATAATAGAAATAGAAAATCTGATCTTATCTCCTCTTCCCCACCAAAATGATCAACTTTAATTTAAACCTTTCAGTGGAACTTTCTTTGTTAATTTACATTAAAATGAATAATTTACTTTTATCAATTATGGGGGTCGTTGAATACATAAGTAAATGAAAGGAATATTTCAAAAGGCACACGTGGTAGGCCTTGTATTAACAGACTTTCCTAAAAAGCTATAGTTACTCCGTAGGTGTTTCTGAGAAAGAAGCACAATTTCTTTCTTCTTACTTTACATAAGTGTTAAGAATGTGATGCTTGGTACCAGGAAATTCTCAACTCCTCTGCCCTCCATACAGTAAGTGGAATTCTAAACACCAGATTTCATAGAGAAAGGGTAATATCTTGGGTATACATTGTAAAGGCTACATGCTTCTATATTGTTAGTCAACTCAAAAGAATATATGTGAAAAAAATGGAATAGCTAAATAAAGTAAATATTGCCCTAATTAAAGATAACCAGAAAAGAATTTCAGAATGTAGTATATAATTTACTGCATTTAGCTTATGTTATATTTAGCTATTTAGTTTATATTATATTTACTTATCATGCATATTTTGGTGTAATCGGATATCATATGAGTACATGTTCAGGCATGTCACAAGCTTAATAAAAGTGTCAAAATATAGAAACTGCATGTGATTTTGAGCTCAAGGAAGAGTAAACTAGTTAACACTTTAAATTAAAGAAATATCTAAGACACACATGTCAAGCAACTATGAAATTTTATCTACAGCCAAGTCAGATATTTTCCTATAGAAATGTACAGAACTTTTCTTTTATGTAAGTATATATTTATAAGCTTTTGGATATTTTGAAAAATTTCCTATACGTTACCATGGTTAGGGACCAGAAATATAAATCATAAGCACAGTGCATACCTGATATATATATGTGTGTATATATATATATATACACACACA